TTTAATGAATAAAATAATAAAAAATTAAAAACATATATTTTTTATAATTAAAAAATAAAAAAATACATAACAAAATTAAAAAAATCAAAATTATATAAACTTTAAAATTAAGATATCAAAATTAACATTTTACTTTTAAATTTTTAGCCAGGTAAAAAATCTACATATCTTATCAGTCATATCTTCCAGCTCATCCGTAATAATATCAGATGGTATTTCTAACCACCATTCAGCCTCTTCGGTTTAGGTTTTTTTTTTTTTAAAAAAAAAAAAGTAAGTAAATGGTGAGCCGTTGACCGCTGTGATTATTATAAAATATCATGTGAAACTAGGGGAAGGTGAAAGGCTGGCATATGACGTTTCATTAAAACGCTAGTACATGATTTATTTATTTTTGGTAAATAGTACATAATTTATTTATAAGTTTTGATTTATAATTTTATAAATGTCCATTTTTATTGTGGTTCAACAGTTACAATTTCTTTAACAAAATAATAATGTCTAAAAATTCAAAAGTTAAATGTTAACCATCCTATTCCTCAATTCCCTAATTGTATTAGTTAAAAAAAAAAAAAATGACTCCACAGATCGTGCCTTAAATTAAAGAGTAATGATAGAGGGGACGAAATCGAAAAATGATTTTGGAGGACAACAAATTATGTAAGGATCAAATTAATAATTACACTATATGTATGAATCCTCTCATCACTTATCATCCTTCAAAATCGTTTCCCGATTTCGTTCTCTCCATCATTACTCTAAATTAAATGCATCAATAATGGTTAAAAAAAAAAACAAATGAAGTACTACCACTGAGGGCAAACAAGAGAAGAGACAGGGCTGAGCGAAAAGACCGGCCCGGTCGGTGGCCCAAACACCACATCGAATTGTGAGCTTTAGGTTCAGGTTAGGACGTAGAGTTACCACTTGGTCCATCACGTGAATAACTAACGAATTAAAATATTTAATTTTTGTTAACTGACACACTCAACTGCCACCCTTTATTGTTGGATTTTTTTTTTACAATTTATAATTTAGAGGATCGGGGGATTTTTCTTGGTTTAAAGCCAATTGTCGTCCCTCTACTTTAATATTTTATTCGTTCTTGTCCCTCTACTAAGGACATGTTCGTTGTCGTCCCTCTACTCTACCAAAGAGACAAAACGTCGTCCCTCTACTTCGTTTTTTTTGTTCGTTGTCGTCCCTCCCCTAACACCGTTAATGTTGCCATCACTGCTGACCGTTAAGTCTTAAACGGTCAGCAGTTAAACCCATTTATTCTTTTTTTTTGTTCCACATGTGCTGCCATGTACAAGAATGGGACCACTTTGCCCACTTTGCCTCCCTGCTTACTCAGACCCCATACTTTCTTTTTTTTTTTTTGTTGCAGAGATGCCATACT